CCATGCCACTTTTATGTTTGAAAAAAGAGACAACTTTTAAGGTCACATTGTTGTTTTTAACATAATAATACACTTGTATACACTACGAATTAAACAATGTAAATGTTATTTTCATGCATTCATTTAGATTGTATATGTATATATGTCTATTGCAAAGACAATCGTGCTATTTTAGGTCAAATAGGCCAGTTTATGTTTCCAAACAAGATCATTCTTTTTTCTTTATTTATCAGATAACTAATAGGTATTTGATATTAAGTTAGAGTAAGTCATTGATTTAGGAAATAAAACGGTTCATGTTTTAAAACAATTAGTCTCTTTAATAAATTTGGACAAATTAATAGAAAGACAAAGATTATCAGAACTATATGAAATATATTAACGTAATACATTTTGAACAATCAGATCATACATATATTTTAATAGTTGAATTCATAAGTCAATTGAAACTGGACCATCATGGAAAGCCTGGATTAGTTGAAGTTAGACATTAACACCATTGAATCCCGGTCGGCTCAGGTTAAGTGTTTGCATGCGAGACCGATAGGTCCTGGGTTCGGATCTTACGAGGCGGGATCGTGGATGAGAGCCACTGAGGAGTCCCGTACTAGGATAAAACGGCCGTCTAGTGCTTCCAGGTTTTCCATCATGATCTAGCTTGACTCATGTATTCAACTACTAAATTACTATAATATCCACAATCCGATCTCTAATTATAATACATATATTTGTTGAGAACAGTAATATATTAGAAGATAAAAGATCGACTAGACAAATGAATGGTAAGAGAAAATATAGATAATCAAGATAAAAAAATCAATGTTACCATGGTAGGTTTAAGGTAACAACAAACTGCTTTTGAATATATAAAGGAGGTTTGTATGCCCAAGACTTCAATAGACGCCCTTGAACACTTTTGTTTAAAATCATAAAAGCCGAGTTAAGATTAATTTTATAACCTGTTTCAAATGTGTTTAGCAAGACGGGACGATGTATGTTTGTTATCTACTCTTGTTAGATCATTTGATTTGATTTAGGTACGTGTTCAGACACCCTAACTTGCCGATCATGATTGTTCCTCCCTATGTATATGTGGCCACACACACATTAAAATTGGTAAGGACAATGGTATGTGACGCAGTCGTTCACATCCTGTTTAGGTTTCCGGTGAAGCATGGACGTTGTTTTCTCTTTGATAGTGACCTTTGACACAGTTCGTTTTGTTGACAACTGATTTGAGCATTTGCCTGAACACAAGGCTATTTGACTCATTTCTTAACCTTAGGTTGATGTAGGTAAGCTATTTCGGTGCTGAAAGTGTAGTAGGTCTCAACATACTGTGGCTTTTCTATCGATGTATCATTTTTATAGGATAACCACTCCCCATCAATGTTTCGTTCATTGACCTCACTTCGTCATCAATATTATCGTTTGTACAATGAGTATATGTGCGAAATGTGCTATGCTAATATATCTCACATAGTTTTGATAATCTTCGTCTTCTTATTACACTTTGTGAAGTCCACATTTCAGTTTCATATAAAGCATATCAACAAATGGTTTACCATTGTATTCATTGTCAAACGATAGTTCATGTAGATGAATATTCTTTTTAGAAAAAAAGTGATAAGTAGTCATGATTCTGTAAATCCTAAGTGACTCCTACAACAGTGACACCTAGTTATTGAAACTGATATGGAGGAGGATAAACATACCGTTGTGGGTAAATAGTGCAAATCAACCCAACCGTTGTTGCTACCTTGACGTGGTGGTCGGGCTTGCCTATCGTGATGAAGCAACCGAGCTATACTGGCTGGAACAACCGTTCCTCAAGGTCCTACCATGTCAGACAGGTCGGTTGAAGTGCGGTAAGACTAAAAGCAACAGACCCAAGGTCCGAAGGCGAAGTCGTACTGCTGACTGTACAGAGGTGTGACAGCAGTAAGGTGTTTCCTTCAGACAACCAGCATGACAGCGATGCTGCCTTCCCACAAGGAGGGGTGGGGTTAGAAAAGGTCGACCCTAAAAATGCACACCTCACCTTACCTCACGGATTTCCGTCTCCGGCGGTAAGGCCCTTTGAAGAACGGAGCTAACACGTCGAAAACCTTCCACGAAAAGGCCGTGCGCGACCGGCCTCAAGCAGTTGTCCCTTGGGCACTGCGGTCACGCTCTCAGGTCACTGAGACCACCTCTAATCCAATTTCCTTTTCAGGTACCTCCAGAAGAAGTGCAAATCAACTCGTTACGAATTATGTAGGAAAGTTGTAATCATTCCAAATAGAGTTGGCAACATAAAAATGTAGTGAACGACGACTTAGGTGGGGATAACCAATTTATTATTTAACGCCCAATCACACAGTGGTTTAGTAAAATGTGAAAATCATAAATTAAATACATCATCTGTACATCTTTGAATTGTCTCCTACAAATTCAGTGTTCCTTCATTCCCGTTCTTATCTTGATTGCTTTTAGTCTCCTTCTATCTTCTCTTCATTTCAATCTTCTGCTCGCAGACATTCTACTGATGATTTCTGTTACATACTACTTATATCTTCAAACATAAGTAGCAACTAACACAATAGTTTATTGCTTTTATTATCACAGTGAATTAATCACAAGACTCAGCCACATGCTTCTAAACATTCTGCAACATGTCATTTAACTTATTCATATATTTTTTCCTTGTGTTCACATTTTCCAACACTTTAATAATCTCTTCAAGTGTGACTGGTAGCAAAATTGGATCGAGATATTTTATTGTCTAAAACATTTAATTCCTTTTTATCTATCAGGTTAATTTTTACTTACTTATGCCTGTTACTCCTTGTGGAGGAGAATAGACCGCTCCATCCAACCCTGTTCTGAGCAATCCTTTCCAGTTCTTTTCAGTTGTTATTCATCCTTTTCATATCTACTTCTATTTACCGACGTAATGTGTTCTTTGGCCTTCCTCTTCTCTATTTCACTTTACGATTCCAAGCTAGAGCTTACCTTTCGATGCAGTTTGATGATTTCTGTAATGTATGTCCTCTCCACCTCTAACATATCTTTCTAGTTTCGTCCTCAGTTGAAAGCTGGTTTGTTCTCTCTCACAGTAGGCTAATTTATGCTCTATAAAAGATTTCCTTCACGAATCATTTCATTTCTATTTCTTTTTCATTTTTTTTTTACAATTTTACACTTTTTAAATGTTTATTTTCTTGTTTAACTCTGGAGACAAATTCATCAGAATGTCTTTTCCCTCCTTTTTTTCTCGCTTCTTTTTCTCTCTGCTAAATGTGAACTCTAAAGTCGTATAAATCTAGCGCTCTTTTTTGTTATTGTTGTTACATGGTTATCTATTTACAAATAGTGTTGTAGATTGTAATTTGAACAAGTTGAACAATTTGTTAATGTATCTGTTAACTAGATTCTTTCTTTCTTTTTTTTAATTTTTATTTTCTTTGCTGGACATGGAATCAGTTCATGAAATCTTTCATTATTATTGGTCTTAATCAAATAGAGATTTCTTGATTTAGATTTATGTAGTTTAAGTTGTTGTTGAGTGATATGGCGTCGTCAACTTTCATTTTTTTAAAAATATTTTTCTGTAAATATTCAATTTGTTTGTTATTTTTTCTTTTGTTTAACCACATTTATTTGAATTTTCATTACAATTGATGTTATTCTTTTTTTTTTTTTAATTTCTATAACTCTGCTGGTGTTAGTAGATGTGTGTGTGTACACATAGCAACTTTCACTTTTGAGGAGTGTCATACTGGGACGAAATAGCCGTCCAGTCCTTCTAAGTTTTTCAGTAGTGATCTACCATTGAGCAATTCAGGATCTCAATGAGATTTTACTTAGAGATTAGGTTTCTCTCTCTCTCTCTCCCCATATATATATTCGGTGACTAGAAATTCCGATTGTCTTAAACACAAAGTGCTTATTTATTTTCGAAGGTTTTTCTAATTATAATTGGTGCCTAATAAATTAAAAACTAAACAAATTTTTATTTCCTTAATGGTTTTATTACGTTTGATTGTTTTATAACGAAAATCTTTGTACATTTTGTAGTTACAAACCATATAAAGTAACAGTTCTGTAAGAAGTTACCTAATTCAAGATCCAATGTTATGTATGATTTTTTATATTTCCTATCTTTTGAATGATTACAAGGTCCTAAATAGTTAACGTTTGCTTGAGCAATTAAGTAATGATTCTTAGGTTTTAATAAGGTATCAGCTCACTACGGACAAAAAGAAAATTTAACCACAGAAATAATGTCGTTTCACTAACAGCCTCATAAGCTTCCATTACAGATAGTAAGATATGGAAATTATAGAGGTAACATAACGAAAACTCATCACTCCAAAGTCTTTGTGTTTTTGGTTTGAAGAAATACCGTCGCATAGTATGTACAACAAGAGGATTTTTACCTCTCAACCACTTTCAACCACCCTCACATCTAACATACTATGCCAAATTGAACTTTTGTATTTCAGTCCTGTTAATGTTTGTGATAATAGCGAGTTGTTCTATAAGAAATTACCATAAAATCACCTCAATGAAGTTAATTTAATAGAAATAGACTCAAATGACGTTAATTTCTTCTTTTTTTTCAAAGTTATATTACGAATATTTTACGTAGGTATCTACAAAAGAAAATAAAAACAAGTGGTTTCACATGGTTTCGTCTCCATAAACAAACTCAGACACATACAGACAATTCACGTTTCTTTATTTCAGTTTGTTTATCATCACATAACTTCACTTGGTTTCTATTTTAGTATCAGTGTTAACTTGTTATTCTGTATCGTAGTTTAATTCACGTAACGTGTAACCTGATAATAATAATAATAAGCTAAGATCAACGATTCTTTGTTGTTTGTTTAACGAAAAAATAACTAACTAAACTTTGAGAAACAACACATTGCTTGTTTATTGTTATTTGGGTTTACAAATTAATGATTTGTTTTTTTTTCTTCTGTTACTATATCTGTTTCCCTCTCTATTAGGTCTCGCTATCCGAATATGGATCAGTTGGCTGATATGATCACATCGGTCCTTGTTCATTTTGGGCAAGTTTTCGTTTGTTTTTTTTGTTTCTTCATAATGCTTATCAAAAGTTGTAGTGATATGCTTTTCATTTGTGCTTTTTCAATGTTAATTGTTATTAATGTAAGATGACTTGTGGAGATAGTAGTATTTTGACCGTTTGAATCACGAATTAATTCTAGCTAGCCTGCCATTGAAAACCTGAGAAAGTCTTCAACAAGTGGGTGCCTAACTGAGGATCTTCCATCTTGTGGATGAACACTTATCCTCCGGGCAACTGAGTTGACGTCCAACGATGTGAACGTCTAACTTCAATAAATTCTAAGTCTTTTGTCAGACAGTTTTCCACTGTGGAAAATTAATTTCGGTTGCGCATTATCGTGAATTGATAAGTAAACAAAATATTAACGAACAGTCTTATTCGACTTTTAGCTTTCAACTTATCTACTGTGTACACTCTGAAATTAGAATAAAACAATGGTCGAGTACCCTCTAGTTATCAATGGTTCTTTAACTAATAATATCAGTTTGTAGTGAAAAACAGTATTGTTGTAATTAGGTAGGGTTTATGTTTCTCGCTGTTAATGTTCGGGACTATATTTGAACAGTCTTTGTTGGCATATTAGATCTTTAAGCAAGATGTTTGTTGTTAAAAATGAATTATAAATATATTTTCCAAGTTGCTGCTAGCACTGGGATGAAAGACGTTCATTTCCTTCTATTTGGGACTCATCATTCAGATATATCTCCATCTAAATGTTGATGTTCATATTTAAACTTGAACTCAGTGCCGTCTACTTCAAATAACAATACGTTATATATGAAGTTAGTGAGCCCAGATAGTTGTGAACTTACTGATAATAGCAGTAAGGATTTGCGTCAATAATACATCTATTGGAACTCAATTGTTGATTGATGAGCTAACTGTTAATCAGCTAACATTAGACTATGTAGGTAATTGATAGGATTATTTCCTGTTATATCCCGGCGAGAATTATGAACTATTTAACCAGTAAACTATTATTATACGATTTACCGTTCTTGATTTAAGTCCAGTCTATTAATTACAATCTTCCACATTCACAGCCACTTTTGGCTTGATTTTCTACAAATGTTAGTTTCTATTTTATGGTACGATGTGGTCTGTTTGGTTTGTATATAAACCCAGTATAATTGAAATACGTGATTCATGTCGCGAGAGAAGTCCTACTCACAGATTTTTTCGCTACAGGAGTGTTGTTCACGAAATTGAGAGTAGGAAAAGCAGATTTCCTGATTAGTGGACACGGAGTGTGCATCTAGGGGAGTTGGAAAACCGTGATTTCAAACCAATGGTTTACATGGGCTCCAGGATACTACAGGAACAAATGGCGTATAAACCTATCGTTGGTCACCGGCTACCATGGGACTTCATCTCCTGATGTTGCTCCACTGCCTTGTGGATCAGACCTTTGGGTCGAAGGCTTCCAATGTGGACAACTAAGGAAACCACCTACTTCGATCTGGGCACTCGGGCAGTATAACAGCCCACTCACCAATCAAGTGACTTGTGTGGCGCATATGTATTCGATGCCCTTTTGTACCAATATTTATGTGTTCAAATAAATAAATAAGTAACTTATGAAACCGTTGAATTATTATCATAAGTAAAAACTAGTACTGTATACAAATTATCTAAGTTGCTTATCATTTCGCATTGATCAATGACTGTCATAATAATTAGTACTAATAATGTGCAGATGAAAACACACACGAATTGTTCCTAGTGTTTGGATATTCAAATTCATACTTACGTGTGTTTAATAACTTAGAATAGAAATCAACTTGATCAAGTAAAATGATAGTGTTTTAGTCAAAGTTATTTTAACTTTGATCCAATTCAATGATCAAGTATAAGAAGTTTGTGTACACTCTCCCTTAAAGTTTATTATTTTGGTTACTTACTTACTTACTTACGCATGTTACCCTTCATTATGTATAAGACTCAGACTAGGCTTCTCCAACCAACTCTATCCTCGACTCTTTTCCAGTTGTTTACAAACTTTATTCATTCTTTTCATGTCTTGTTCTAATTCTTGACGTAATATGTTCTTTTTTGTTCTACCTCTTTTCATTTAATCTTAAAAATTACAAGTTTAGGCTTGATTTGTGATTCATTTTAATGATTTTGGCAGTGTATATTCTACCCACCTTTAATGTTTATTCTTAATTTCCTCTTCATCTAGAAACTGATTTATTCTCTGATATAGTAAATTATTGTTAATGGTATCCGTCTAACAGATCTGGAGTATCTTACGTAGGCAATCCTTTCTTTTTTTAAAGATTTTTTTAAAAAGTATACTTGTACTATTCTTTTTTCTGTATAAGTTTAGTATAATACTGCGCACAAATGCCCTGGTACGGCCGAGAGTGAGGAGAGTCCGCTCTCCCTCTCGAAATGCTCTCACATGGCCTCTACCAGGGAAGTCCTACTCAGTGCCTTCTCGTGGTGGGGTGTTGTTTACAAAATTGAGAGGACGAAAAGCGAATGTCCGGTGCTTTAACCGGATTCCAAACCAATGGTCCACATTGGCTCCAGGATACTAAAGGAACAAATGGCGTATGAACTTATCGTTGGTCACTGGCTACCATGGGATTACATCTACTGACGTTGCTCCACTGTCTTGTGGATTAGACCTTTAGGTCGAAGGCTCCTGGTGTGGCCCCCTAAGAAAACCACCTACTTCGATCTGGGCGCCCGGGCAGTATCACAGCCCTCACACATATCAAATGAGATCTGTGTGGCGCATATGTATTTGGTGCCTCCTTGTACCAATATCTATGTATTAAAATAAGATAAAATAATGATACTTCTTTAGTATTTGAATATTATTAAATGGTGATAGATTCAAGCCTCTATCATAATATCTCTTCAACATTACTACTACTAATAATAATATCTTGTATGAGTTGTTTATCATTAAAACTAAATAGGTTTCCATTTAGATCTATCTATTATCCTCTTGCTTTTTAAAACATGTTCTCTATTCTTTCTTTTATCCTTTTCAAATTCACTGATAATTGACGTTTTGTTTGGATTATTATGCTTCTATTTATTTGCTTATTTATTATTGTTATTGTTGTTGTTTGATTTTCTTTCTTTCTATCTTTTTTCTTTTCAAATATAGAATAAACTATTTTTTGGGTTTTGGAATGGGAGCTGGGTCAAATATTCTTGCTCGTTATGCAGTAAGTTGATGATAATTAGGATGATTGACTGATTGTTGTTAATTTAAACAATAGTCTTGCATATATATATATATATATATATATATATATATATATATATTAGCTGATGGGATTTTGCTGACATTAGTTTAATTATAGCTTGTATTTGTAAGCGATTAATCACAGTTACGGGTATCATTGAAGACCAATCAGTATTGAACGACTGTTTTATCCTAATGTATGATTTCGTAGCAATACACAACCATAATACTTTAAGGGTTTGATATCAGCTCCTTTAGGTCTCGAAACGAACACTTAATTACTAGAATTATTGGGTTATCAACTAATAGTACAAATCATACCACAATCAATTTGTCATATGGTACGATATTCATCAAATGTCATCGTTGACAACTGTTTCACTACTGATACATCGTCATACTGTAGTGAACAAAAACACCAATCTGGATAATCGGATGTATTTGACACTAAATTACAGAGCATCTCAATAAAATCTGAGAACCATATAGTAAATCGTTAATTTGCATAACATCAATCCATCATCTCAAACTTGACTATTTCTGTTGCAAACATCAATCCATTGTCTCAGATTTCATTGTTCATGCGTTCTCATACCAATTGTGTTCCGTTCCCGTCCTTTCCTTATCGATCTTCTACTGAAATACATTCTATGCGTGACCACCGTCATAAACTACTTATGTGGATATATATAAGTAACCCACACCACAATACTACTAGTCATCAATTTTTTGTGATTATATGATGTTTATATTCTATCGTCAATATTTAGTTACTGAGTCTTTATATACAATCTATCTTTTATATATTACCACCATTGAATTAACTACTTCTATGAATTCGGTGTTCAACTTATTGTGTTAATGACGTAATGGCAACTTGAACCGATGCATATATGTATCTGGTCCTACGTTGTAGCTGACTGACTTTAACCAAGGGGATGCCTAGTTTAACACTAATCAGCGTGAGCGCTGACAAAATAGTTTTGAATCTTATCAGTCCACCAACTTAAACACCTTCTATTTCACTGTCTTGAGTTCAAATAAAAGAACACCTCAGTCAAGATCCTATTATCATACTTCAAAAACACATGCGTTTATTTATCTACAAATTTTGAATAAGTTGAAGATTTCCATGTTCGATTTAACACCACTGCAGTTCAGAAAGTATCTAATAAAATGTCTATTCGTAATCTAAGTTTATCACTTTTCATCAATTTTAGTAGTAGTAGTAGTAGTAGTTATAATAATAAGTACTATAGTGAATAAGAACAAAATATCTACTACCATTTACTATAATTTCTAATATCTTTCCCAGTTAATGGTTTAAATCCAAATCCCTTATCTTTGTATACAAAAGACATCTGTAATACTGATATGTATTCTCAGGTTAGAAGAAATTTTCTAGGACTATTAATTGGCAAACTTTATTTTTTTTTACATCATTCATCCGTGTCTTTACTTTAATAAATAAATAATGCAATTTAGTTGCCAAGTACATTGTCTATATAAGTGAAGACCAACAATACTATGATAAAGCTATAGTATAGGAATACGCTTGAACGAGTCACAATTTCAAAGCAGACTTTTTTGCCAGTGAGTTAGTCAGTTGTATGTAAAGCAGAACCCGACAAATATTTTCATTGGTTCAAATTACCACATTACATTAGCACAGCTAAGATGTCAGAGTTGTATAATTATTGAAAGTACCTAATAATGGTAGTAGAAAAGATTAGTCTTAGAAGATACGAATCGAGAAAATATGGATTTGTGGAATAAAATTAGAAGTAATTTTAAAATAACTAAAAAACGTAAGATCTAGGTAAAGACAATAAGTAAATGTATCTATGTTATGTCACTCAGCAAAAGACGTGTACTATTGGTTAAGATAATCTCACAGACCCTAACTACGTAATCTACACAACTCAGCACAATAGTCAATTACTTCTTAGGTCTTGAAATGGTGAAGATTTGTAGATCATCTGGATTGTTTTGGTGAATTTTTGTTCTCTGAGCTGAATGGTTTGGTCATGGAGCTTTCATCGTTATTCTGAACGACATTATCAGCACAAACTTCATGTAGAAGTAAACGTCAGCACTGACCAATCTAGATCGAGGTCTACAGGACAGGCTGTGAACTATATGTGGAGAAATCCGAACACTTCACTTCTACATGAAGTTTCCTAAATAAGTTTCTAAACTTAACTTCTTCTCAAACCAATTTATAATCTGTTTTTCAAACATAAATTAATGCAATTAAACCGAAAAAAGCAAAATATTTTAGTCAATTAAAAGAAAGAAATATTGAGCACACCCCTACTAAACAGTAGTAAAAACACGACAACAATGAATCGATGGAAGAGCTATTCGTATTTCTAAAAAGATACAATTTCGCGAATGATAATTAAACAAGAAAAAACAACCAATCTAAGATTAGAGTAAGTTTTAAATAGTGCGCATTTATCATAGATATTATTAATCAATTCATTCTTATCAAACTGGATTAACATTCCCTCTCGAAACGTTCATCAGTTCCTCCATCAGCAGTCATCTCTTTTGAATCATGTCCCAAATAATCGCTTCGATTAATGTCTTCATCAGCATAACCGTTTTACATTCGTCAGGTCCGTAGTCTATGTGTTTAATTATAGCATTCAGCTACCGAATCAGTACAACTATTCAGAGTTCTATTTACTTCTTCTGGCTTCGCATAAAGCGTCTCGTCAATAATCATTTGCTTTCTTAAAATGACCAACTAAAGTTCTCTTGATGATGTAGTTCTTGACTTCACAGTTGTTTTCAACAGCTTGTTATTATTCGAAAGGAAATTACTACATTTTGGTGGTGAAACGAGCGGCAGTCGTAGATAAGGTGTCACCAATCGTCGTAGGTTTGATGAATTAAACAATGGAACAGTAGTATGGTGTGTGCTAGTGATGTCGGCAGTTATAAGTAGTACATTTCAGTAATCTAAAGTGTAATGCCTACCAGTACAAGGTTAAGAAGATCGAAGAGAAGAAAACGAGGACAGAAAGTGATTGGTGTGGAAACGAAGGAGCAACAAAGTCTCAGACAGTTAATGAATATTTTGCAAATGAAGTAATTAATGTATGGTTTTCAGATTTTGCTAAGAGATTCTGTAATTTTGTATCCAAATACATTCGATTGTCCCCACTTGTGTTCTCGTTCACTACAGTAACAGTAGAATACAATATCCTTATTGATTCTTGTGAAGACTAGGAAATGGTATTCAACATTATATGTTTTTAATTTACGACCGTTATTAATTTCCCGTTGGTCATCAATGGAATATCATTTGTTTAGTGGTTGGGATTTTACGCAAACCACTGGATTGGGCAATAATTGAATTGTCAACTGGATTATTATCGGTACTAAGATTCTCAAGAATTCTCTTGGTCTCATAGAGAACTGGAGGCAGTTTGTCTGTATATGATTCATATAGTGTATACCAAAATGCCACGTCAATGTACACTCATAAAATATATAATTTATCATATTTTCCCACTCGCTTCTCTTTTAACTCGTGCACAGTTGATACATTAAGTCCAATCAATAAATTTACATTTTGGTCTCTAACATTTAACCTCAGTACTGCTCACTCAGTAGTTCCAATATTAATATCAGTTGGTAAAGTATTGAGGGTAAAAAGTCATTTCGTCCTATTGTAATGAACGCGACTTACAAGTATGTTTGTAAGTAGTAGCGGAACATGGCGTCAAAGTTTCTACCGTGATCAGAAAGAGTGAAGAGTTTCAGTACATCGGAAACACAGCGTAGATAGACCGCTTAAAAATCAGACGAGAAGACAGTTCAGATGACAAAACCCACCGACAGATACAAATAGTAGACTTTTCGAGGCTCAGTCAGTCACAACGTAGAAATCCGTACGTACGTACATCAGTTCGAGTTTCCACACCACATTAGTACAGAGATGCAGTTGTCGATTCAAATCCCGTGGTGGTAGAGGTAATAAGAGTATAAGCAGTAATCGGGAAGATTAGGGTTTGGAGATGTTATTTAAAGAGTATAATTCAGTGAAATAAGTTTGGAAAGAGAAAAAAAAAAGACAAGAAGGAATCAGGAGATTAGAATTTGGGAGAACACAAAGAGTGGATGCACCTGCGCCATTGCAAACGATTTTGAACCATGTCACTCAAGGTCTCTAACCATCGATTGCTATCATCTCGCGATCCCCAACCAGGTAGTCTACACCTACCAACATGACTCAGTTCACTTGTCAGTGACTTCATGGATTTGTGTGATGTTTTGGTCTGGCCGCACATAACTTTCTTCCAACCTACTCCTATACCATTGAGCATCGCACGTCGTAGCAGTCGGTGGTTGGGCATACGTAACACTTGTCCCAGCCATCACAACTGATGAAGTTTCACTACTTTATCAATTGATTTGCCATCCTTACCTAGTACCCGTTTCCTAACAACTGCATTGCGTACTCAAGATGTACGAGCAATACGATAATAATAATAATACGATTGAAGGCTATGTATTATCTAATTACTTTGTAACTTCTCGCAATAAATATACATTCTTCCCGCCTATTATCGTTGCTTTTTTTTCACTAGTTTAGAATTCTTCAGTAGTATTTGTTCACAATTTCATTGTTTCACTGCTCATATAAAATTCATAGATATATTCTATTTGTCAACTGAACCATTTAGTGAATTTAACTATTGACATAATTAACCAGTAATGTTTATTCGTAAACATTAAATCTTCCATCAATTCCCTCGTGAATATAAAGTTGATGTTGTTGTTGTTATTGTTGTTTTCACTAGTTACTGAAATGTTTATGAAATAGTTGTGAATGCCATGTTTATCTTGCATACACACAGATCATCATTGTATCAAGTTTACCTGGATTTGTTGAAATTATGCACTATTACATTCTGATGCATTGATTTATTCTAAAGAATAACACTTCAGTGAAGTGAAGTGAATAGATAAATCCATTGTAATAGTATACTAATCACTTGAAAAGGTTTATTGAATCTGCTTCTTCTTCTTGTATCACTAATGACAAAACTAACTCTTTGTCTTACTTTCTCAATACAATCTATAGACACATTAATAAAGTCAGTTTTCTTACATTATTATTATTGATTAGTTGATTTACCCTCTATAATTGGTCATTTAAAAGTAAAAGAATAGAAGATCATAATCACCATAGTTTTACTAATTACTTCATTCTTCTAGTCAGATGGCAATAATTTGATTTGTAGATAGATAAAATGTTACTTATAATAGTATTAAAGGGGTTGGTAAAAATGATTCATTTTTAATAAGAAAAGTATTTAGGAATATGTAGTTGATAACTTGTTAAACAATGAATAATGTATTATGTTTCTATCTACTTTAATTGAAAATCTTAAGATATCAGTTTATCTGGTAACTTAGGAATATGCACTTTTATCTAGTGGATGGGGGGGGGAAGATCCAAGCGCAATACCTTTAAATTTTATGATAGATGTATTGCTATTAAACCTATTAACTTGGCACCCAAAACGTTACATTTCTGACTTTAATATTATTTTTAAGAAGTTCTATAGTATTTTGAAACAGACCTACATTATTGTTTTTCAATGATTGTGTTGATAAGACTGATTCATGATATAGAGATTACAAAGTGGATAATTTCTGCGAACATATTGTGTTTATTACTAATTGTCGATTAAACGAAATTTTGAGCAAAGTTATTGAATGTATTGAAGTTGTGATACATCCTGTATTTATTTATTTATTATTATTATTAAAACACATCAACATTGGTACAAGGAGGCACCAAATAGATATATGCACCACATAAATCATTCGATTTGTGTAAGGGATGGGATACTGCCCTCGTGTTCAAACCGAAGCAGGTGATTTTACTAGGGGGGAAAAATCCGGAGCCCTTGACCTAAAGTCTGATCCACAAGACAGTGGAGCAACGTCAGGAGATACAGTCCGTCGGTGGTCGGTTACCAACAATAGTTTCATACACCATTTGTTCCTTTAGTATCCTAGAGCTCATGTAAACCATTGGTTTGGAATCAGGGTGTTACAACTCCATCAACCCGGTTAAAGCGCCGGACATCCTCTTTTCATCCTCAATTTCGTAAACAATAGTATTGCTGAGAGAAGGCAGTGATTAGAACTTTCCTCTCAGTGGTTGTATGCACGTGACCATGTGAGAGCATTTCGAGAGGGAGAGCGGACTCTATTCACTCTCGGCCGTACCAGGGCATTTGTGGGCGAAAAATATGAAGCGCTTCACGATTTTGCATGTCATCCTCGCGCAGGGGACATGCTAATCATCTTTATATGATTTCAATTTTAGTATATGTACCGCCGAAGTAAGTACATTTTGAATGTAATCCTATTTAACATCACAAAGACTCATATGTGTTTCATTCATTATTTTTAAAAATGATAGTGTGATTTGCTTTTGTGGAAAGAAGGTTGTTGTATTCACCAAAATTGTAGTTGCATTTTACTAACATGTACCGACAATAAGATTGTGATGTTCTATCGATCATATAGTTCAGTAAAGAACTGGTTTCTTATGCCGATTATGCAATATTACAGTTATCTTTTTAACCTACATTCAGATTGTAATAACTGTTGAACATATTTTAAGTTTTTTTTTAATAGTTAATATCTTTCACCGGTATCCAACAATTAAAGTCGTTTTTGCCAGTCCAGCTTCTACATATACATTTTTCACCCATCATGTGTGGGGTTTATGAGTTCTAACATATTTGTCTATCGTTTTAGCAAAGGATAGTTTGGAAAAAAATACGCCAACAAGTGCAGTGTTTCTGTTTGACTTTTCTGATATTTAGTGTTGTAATAGTTTGTAATCAATCTATAATAGAGTGTGTTTATATGCAATTAGTAACCACGACCATACGACTCATGTAAACATAAAGTAATTAGCTTAATTGTAGTATTTGTACAGTTGGAAAAAAAGGTATGTCAAACGTTTGGTTAAACCGCCCAAGGTATATATAATGATGAGCTCGATATCTTTTATATATATACTTATATCCGTTTACTCTTTGGACTTTGAATTTTGACTTAATCTTCCATAAATAACTTCGACTCTCTTTTTGAATTCTAAATCCTTATGTTTTATTGTTTTAAACAACTTTTTAATAACAGATACGATTTTCCGAAATGCTAGTTATGTCATTTAAATTTCTTGTGATAATTTTTGCTACTTAATTTTATTACAGTAGTGTGAATATCTTATTCGCATTTTAAAAATTGTCAAATATCTTACAGCTTCGTTATCCGGATCAAGTATTGGGATTATTCCTTATCAATCCAAATGCATCAACTCATGGTTATTATCAATGGTTCCGTAATGTTTGGTCTGATTTACCTGCACTTGAACGTGGTGTACTAACTGATAATTTAATGAGTCAATTAGAAGCTCATTGGTTTGGATTTGTAAGATTTTATTTATAATAATTTTTTTCTTTATACTTACCATGATTCATTAACTAATTCCGTTCACGCTTTCACCATTGTTTTCTTTGTAATCACAAAGAAGATTTGTAGTTTGGATAGTTTATTTTAGTAATATTGTGTTCTGTGAGCTCTATAGTGTAAACGTTAAACGTTCATCATTGTTTTGGTTTATATCGTCAGCGCCTAACTTTCATTGGAATTAGACGTTGATGATATTAACCTGGATGATAAATAAAGTATTACAATCTGATCGTATTGTTCACTGGACACAATACCATCAAACGTTATTCTCTCCAACTAGTCGAGTTGTTTTTCGTGTATTCCTTAATTTATTCTCATCTTTGTTTTCATCAATGTGTACTTTTATTGAAAAACTCTAATTCTAGATATGTGCATTGGTTAGAACTGTATAATATAATAATTTTTTCGTAGCAAAACTGATAACTTGAATAAACTATATGATAAATCGAAAAATAACTGTATCTAATGCGGTGTTCTATCCGCGTTTAGGTTAATCATGCCTTATACGGTGAAGCCGATCAACTTTTCAGGAAATGGTTTCTGCTCTGTAAGGTTCACAAACCTACTTTGTGAATGTGATCGCCTAGGGAGATCGACACTGCCGGGTCTTGGCGCGCTAGCGTCTCACCAACGGGCAAGTATACAGTACATGCATACCGGTGACACATAAGCTTTCGCCTATGTATCCTTTTGCATATCCATAGGTATGTTCACCCTGGGAGCAAACACATGTCACGTGCACACGGGTAACACAAAATGTTTCACTCATGAATCCCATAGCATACATATAGGTATATTCACACACTTTTGAGAGTAAATGATCATTGCTCCCTTCGAACGTATTTGCTGCTGACTGTTTCTTACGTATTACATGGATACTATTGATACAAAAACTTCCGCCCTTGTACTCCATGACATACACATAGGCATAAGCACTCTTTCAGAGGGGATTGGTGATCGTCTCTACCTAATATTTTCTACCGTTTCTTCTCATCTTGTGTTCGACATAGGGCAGACATTTTCCAGATTACGTTCCTTGTGCTAACGTACGCACGTACCCTTTGCATATGCCTACATACATAAACTACACAATCTGAGACTCAATGGAATTCATATACATAGGTATACACATCGGAAAACCCGCAATATTTTAGTTAGCCATAAATTAGAAACCCAAATAATTCAGTTTACATCAGAGTATTAGGTTAGTCCGATCTCTGCCGACCACCCAAATTAAATATCAAGGCTTTTTTCACTAGCCATAAGCGCCATGTGAAGGTTTTAAGTCGAGTTATTTACTAGTTTTAACTTCAATATGTCATATACAATAAATAATGAAAGGTCGGTAATACTACAGAGAAATAACAACCATTTTTATGCAAACGAAATGGTGAAAGGAAAGTCACTCATTATCTACGAAAGAAATTGCTTCAATTGCGAAAAACATTATATCAAACGAATGGGTTTTCCTCGGCATCTTTATTTGGACAAGCATCAACTAGCTGTCAAACACTATGATATATTCTCGCTTATATTAGTTCATGCAGACAAGTGTTGACAACCGTTCAGTTAAGGAAATATTTAAACTTCGAATAGAGAGAGAAAGTTTAGCACTCCAGTGAATCAACAATTAGTAGATATTTCACAGGTTGAAGTTATGAGTCGATTGAAGCTAGACCATCATGGAAAACCTGGAAGCACTGGACAGTGAAGTTCAACCAGGTCTGTTGTGAGATAGTAACTCACTGAAGACAATGGTGTACAGTGGCGCAACTTCGTGGATTGGTTGAAGTTAGACATTAACACCGCTGGATGCCGGCTAGCTCAGTGGTCTAGTGGTTAAGTGCTCGCGCGCGGAGCCATTAGGTCCTGGGTTCGAGCCCCGCGCGGTGCGGGATCGTGGATGCGCACTACTGAGGAGTCCCGTGCTAGGACGAAACTGCCGTCCAGTGCTTCCAGGTTTTTCATAGTGGTCTAGCTTCAATCGACTCATGATTTCAACCTGTGAAATTTCTATAACTCTCCACAAAACCCATTCTGATAATTAGTAGATATATCGAAATCAACTCAATTTACCGTCAACCAATTAGAAAACACATAAACAATATATGATCAATGATCAAGTTAATGGAGAAGGTGATCAAACTAAATATCCTGAGAATAACAGAATAAATATCAACAATAACGAAGTAAGATCAAGGTCAAATAGAACAAGTTCTTATTCATATTTGAATAAATTCTAATAGCTCACTTTTATATACAGTTTATGCTGATGTTGTTGTTGTTGTCCAGAATGAAAATGTAAAAAACAGCTTCATCAAAAAGAAAAAAAAATGAGTAAATGAACTTTTCAAAGAAAAATTTACTATAGGCAAAGGTCAATGGAAATATCATAGTATAAGAATATATACTTCATTTGTTTCGGATGAATGTATACCATCGTTTATAGTTAACTTGTTAATTGATTTTGAATGTGTGAATTCAAATGAAATGGGTTTTGTTTCGAATATATGTATCTTACCTACTCACTTATACCTGTTACCCCTTGTGGAGGAGCATAGGCCGCTTACCAGCATTCTCCATCTAACCCTGTCCTGGGCATTTCTTTCAAGTTGCTATTCATCCTTTCCATGTCTGCTTCCGATTCCCGATGTCATGTGTTCTTCGGCATTCCTCTTTTCCGCTTCCCTTCAGGATTCCAAGTTAGGGCTTGTCTCTGGATGCAGTTTGATGATTTCCGTAATGTATGTCCTATCCACTTCCAACGTCTTTTCCTAATATCCTCTTCAGTTGGAAGTTGGTTTGTCCTCTCCTACAGAAGGCTGTTGCTGATGGTATATGGACAATGGTTGTTGAGTATTTTATGTTGGCAATTATTTATAAATACTTGTACCTTCTTGATGATGGTTGTAGTAGGCGCGGATTGGCAAAGCAAGAGCAGCATATTTACAACTGAGGAACATCTGGAACTCAAAGCAACTGTCTGTCAACCAACACCAAGGTCAGGATTTTCAATACAAATGTCAAGACAGTCCTAATGTATAGGGCGGAAACTTGGAGAACTATGAAAGCCATCATCCACAAAATACAGGTGTTTATTAACAGTTGTCTACGCAAAATACTTCGGATCCGTTGGCCGGACACTATTAGCAACAACCTACTGTGGGAAAGAACAAACCATATCCCAGCGGAGGAAGAAATTAGGAAGAAACGCTGGAAGTGGATAGAACACGCATTGAGGAAAGCACGCAACTGCGTCACAAGACAAGCCCTCACATGGAATCCTCAAGGCCAAATGAGAAGATGAAGACCAAAGAACACATTACGTCGAGAAATGGAAATAGACATGAGAAAAATGAACAAGAATTGGATGGAATTAGAAAAGAAGGCCCAAGACAGAGTGGGTTGAAGAATGCTGGCTGGCGGCCTATGCTCCATTGGGAGTAACAGGCGAAAGTAAGTAAGTAAGTAAACACTTGTTGATGTGTGTGTGACAGATTAGCTGGGTCATCTGCATAGTACAAATCGTTTAGTTACATCCAAGCTGTTGATTGTATTCCGTGTTTCCCGTCAGATGTCGAGGTCTTCATAATTCAGTCAACCACGAGAAGAAAGTGGAGGGGGGAGAGTAAGCAGACGAATCAAAATCATCTACCTAAGCTACAAATCTCCATCATTATTTTCATAGCTTAAGGCATCTATTAACTCAAAATTAATTATTTTCTTATTGAAACCTCAGCGATTGTATTTTTTTCGTGTTCCTGGAGTTACAATAATTTTCAGTCATGTACTTTAAGACTGTATATTTATTTCATTGTAAATTGTATTTAGCTTGACAAATCATTACCTTACATAGTGTCTAAGATGCCATTTGGATAGTTAAGGTATATCATGAGAAGCTTAGTAAACATACTTCCACAGTGTCAGTAAGCTTTTTCTATCGATAGTTAAAGTAAGTAAACTATTATAACTGAAGAAATTCGTTCTAAAACTTCTTTGAATATATCGAAATGATTCAACAAGAAAACAAGATGGGGGGGGGGGAAATGATATTAACATGAACCTAATAATCTGTTGTATTTTATTAAGAACAAAATGACTCTCAACTTTGATTACTGTAAAATAGCTTTACATTTTATTCATTTCATAATTCAGGGTTTAGTTGAAAATGCTGATGTAGCTAATTTTTATGAATCATTAACACGAAGTTTAAATCCAGCTAATTTAGCTGGTTATATACGTTCTTATGTGGATCGTACACCATTACCATTGGTTCGACCAATACTTGGTCCTCCAATGCCTGATGCTCAAACAAATCCAAATGAAGAACCAACAGTTATACTTACTGAAGTATGTTTAGTAACTGGTGATCGCGCTGTGGAATTGTCACGTGCCTTAGCTGATATGAATGGACGTATGGATCCGAAACGTACACAATTTCTTATGGTAATTAAATTCATTTATTTTAATTCCATATATATTATTTGCTTTCATCAGTCTTGTTGGACAAAATATATTATAATCAATTTAATTTACTGGGAACTAGGAGGCTTTTTCTTGATTTTATTTAGCTAGACAATACACCTAAGGTTGAGTAAATCTAAAGATTATCTTATCTCCGATTATTTAAATGCAAGAATAACAAATGGCTCCACAATAAGCGATAATCACCATAGATCTTAAACTACAGTGTTAACATCTGACGTTGAATGGCTGGATCAGTTGTCTAGAGGTTAAGCGTTCGTGAACGAGACCAAGGGTCCCGGGTTCAATGCCTCCCATTGAATAGGAGTCCTGTAATGGGGAGAAATGGCCATCCAGTGCTTTCAGGTTCGAAATGGTAGTGTATCTAAGATCAGTTCCTGGTTTCAACAGTGAAAAAGTAAAATATGTATCAACGAATAAGTCTGTTTACAATCACTAGTTTTAACCAACTATGGAGGATTATTTCTAGTTACTTATAAGTAGTATAGTTATAGCACACAAATTTCACATTGAATATAGTTAGAAATAGGCTTCGATTGACTGGATAGTATGTTTATCATTTTAAGAGTGAGAGGTAATTAGTGTTGAGTATTTTAAAACTGTTTAAAAGCTCCAATTGATTTCTAAGGTTTATTAGTGAGTTTTAGAGAATCAAATACTCTCGTTCATTGACTCGAAACTATTTTACTTCTCATTATGGCAATCAGAAAAATAATCACTGATCCTTATATTATTAACTTATGTGTGACCACTTTAGGGCTCCTCTAATTACTTATAACTTAAGTTATTCAAGGCATCTGGATCGACACACTATTATTAGTGAGGAAGAGGGAGCTTACGATTGATCACTTCACTTTAGATATTTCACATCCTGAACTGACCTTTGATACAATCACAGGGGAGGAAAATGGAAGTATTGGACAAATTTCTCATCCCAATTTAGGATTCCTTAGAGTGACTCATCTTGAACCCACCGATTTTTGAGCCCAGAACGTTCAGGTTCCATTTCTTATTAATTCATAATTATGAAGGATTATCATTGGAAGTATTTCATCGTGTCGACAATAATCACTCACGTTTGATAGAACCACTGATTGGATTATATTGATGTTATGTGTAAATTACTACTAAACGAAATTTTAATGAGTATGCCATATTTCACTGAACATATAACATTGAGTAAAGTGAACATTGTTATTACAAATAATTGTATTGTCAAACCAATTCTTTTTAATGTCACTGATGATAGTACTACTACTCTGACATTTATCATGATAGTTCCATTTCCTTATGTTTCATGTAATGGAACAGAACACGGATGGGGGATTACCAATTTATTATTTTATACAAATAACAAAATATCTTCGTAAAATATGAAAACTATACACTAAAATCTTCATTTGCAAATCTTCCATCAATTGCTCTTTACATTCTGTCTGATTCTTGCAATTCGTAATTCCTTTCTGTTGCCAGCCATTCAGCTTTTGATTGGTGTCACATACTACTTATGTCTGTCTACATAAGTAGCATACACCAGTTATAATATAATAAATTGGATTGATGCAGATATGTATACCATATTTGTTATGACCTTGGATGTCTGGCTTTTCTATCACACGATTATCTACCAATCCGAATACGACTTATACGAATCTTCACACTAGGCCAACCAATGACGTTCAACCGGTGTGGGCAGTTTCCCGTCCTTATTGGTCCTATGTCCTCCGAGCCCTTCCACTTGAGTCCAGAACACAATACCAGCTTCCGTAATATGAATCGAATCAGAGCAGATCGTTTATTTCAGACATACTCGGTTTATATATCAATCAGACAGACCACAACGTACCATAAAATAGAAAATAACATGTGTACACAAATAAGCCAAAAAGTGGCTGTGAATGAGGGGGACAGTGAATAATAGACTGAGCATAGCTCAAGAGTCGTAAATCGTACAATAATAAATTATAGATCAAAATAAAGCTTATAATAAGAGGAATATAAATATACATAATCTAATTATTCAATAGTTTTACAATAAGAATATTTATAGAATATTAGTCCATTAGTAGTCCTCGGGAGTTACCTGTAATTTAATCTTCGCTGGGTTATAACAAGATTCAATACTGCTTATAAATGATTGACTGAAATTTGAATAGTTCCAGTGTTTCGTCCAGCAAACTTGTCTAGACTTCTTCAGGATAATTCTCTACTCGGTGCCCAAATTTTATCGAACTATTCGTTCTAATATTGACGAATATTCGTATAAATGATATTATCGTTGTTTTCGTTTATGTGTCCTTCATTTAGATGCCTGATTGTACTGGTATGGTGATGGAAGAGAATCCTAGCAAATTAATCATGAACTTTTTACACTTCTTGCGTAGTATTGGACTTGGTAAGTTAATCATAGTTTGTTTGTTTTCCCTGTCTGTATTACAGTATAGTAAGAATAATGATAATAGTACTGATAAGATCATATGACATAGTTGTTCGTATTGGATTGATACATTTTTTCGATTGTGTAGTACTTTTCTCAATCAAATCTCGCTTTCCATAGTTTATTTCACTGGTATTATCTCCATATGACAACTTGTTGTTTTAAATGCCAACTCAGTAGTAGTGATCTACAGGGGTAATATTCTCGTCGTAAAACCTTAAAGTTCTCGGTTACATTTTTTTACTTTGTTTATTTACATAAGATCTGGTACAACTTGGTATTAAGGATTAGTAAACGCTATACACAATATTTCTATATGCACTGCCATACTACCTGGGCACTCAAACGGAAGTAGATGGTTTTCTTCAGAGGCCACTCCTCTAGCCTTTGATCTATAGCTCTAATCCACAAGAAAGTAGACGATTGTTTGAATATAATTGTCTCATAGTAGTCGACGAGTAAATAAAGTCTCAAACATTGATTGTTCTTTCAAACCTGGATAGCCCATGCTCATTGTTGGTTTGTAATCAGAGCTTCCCAACTCCTTCCTTAAGTTAACCCTCCATATCTAATGACTCAGTTTAATCCCTAGAAGTTTACTTTTTCTTAATTTCGCTTTCGTAAACAACACCCCTACTGTGAGAACGGAATGAGTATAATTCCCTTTTCAGAGACTGTAAACGTATAATTGATTTGGATTTCAAATATGAGACTGAACTCTCTCCTACCCTCTACCCCAGCCCATTTGTCAGTTTGATCATTGAAAGAGTCATAAGGGACTATATCTTCTGACCTTGTTCCACTGCCTTGTGGATTAAACTTTTGGATCTAAGGTTTTGTGAGTGCCCCCTCCATTATATATATATATATATATATATATATATATATATATATATATATAATTGATACCTCCTTGTACCAAGGTTTATGTATTTAAATTGTTATGTTCGTTAAGCTTAAATGCTACTACTGATTCTTTCTACTCGGAACGGAACGAAGAATCAAGCAAACAGAGACTCGATAGGCTATACTGGTCCGTTGTCCCCGATTCAGCAAACTCGATCCAGAAGTCTTGGTAAGATGTAGAAAGTGTATTCTACAGACAACCAGAACATACCAGGTCCATCAAGTACACAAATCAAGCGTATTTATACAAAAAATATATAATCGATATTGCCATGGAAGTTTTTAAACATTTAATCGATAAGCTCATCAATCGACTATATGCGTGGGTGGTAAGAAATGCCCAAGTATACATCTGTATACAAGGTCCACAACGATAAAATTACAAAATATGAGTTTTAGGGATCTAACATCCCCAACATAAATAAATAAACATAAGTGAACACTATCAAAGTATCGTTTTAGTTTTCATTTGTTGCCAAGCTAAAAATCAATTCTTAATATGTAGGCTATTTTTTTTTCTTTATTTAATTTTCTGATCAATTCAAAGTTTGTCATGTTTCTTCTCTATTAAACTTTAACTCTTCTTTTATCTTAGTAATATATATATACAATATTATAATCCATGTTGTTAAGTCAAGCCAATATCTAACTTCCTTCTTCTGATTTTATCATGTTGTAATCTATTTGAAAAGGAAGACAAATGAACTCGTTTTTGTGTGTGTGTGTGTGTGTGTGTTTTGTTTTCATCTTTGAAGTCAATGCTCCAACTTTCTGCTCTCCGCCTTTTATTCATTCTACTAAGAAAACTAAATTTAAACAGAATGAATACTTTGAATGTTGAAAATTTATGATCAAAAAATATTCACTGGAATCAGAGTACTTTAGTATGACTATTATTATGAAGTGAATGTAAAATCTAGTTATATCAAACGGATTGTAATTATGTTTAAATGTAGTTTGTTTTTGAAAAAAGGTTATTTGTGGTTATAACGTTGAATATCTTGTTTCATTTATCGAGATTCAAATTGTTTTATATGTTTCTTTCTATGAATTCATTATTTCTTTCTGTACTTACTTACTTACACCTGTTACTCATCATGGAGGAGCATAGGAAAACCATCAATACTCTCTCTATCCAACCTTGTCCTGGGCAATCGTTTCTAGTTGTTATTCATTCTTTTCATATCTGCTTCTATTTCTTGACATAATGTGTTCTTTGGCCTGCCTCTTTTCCATTTCACTTCACAATTCCAAGTTAGGGATTGTCTCATGATGCAGTTTGATGATTTCCGTAATGTATGTCCTATCCATTTCCATTGTCTTTTCCTATTTTCCTCTTGAGCTGGAAGCTGGTTTGTTCTCCCCCACGGTAGGCTATTGCTGATGGTATCCGTAGAAAACTAACTCACTTATTTATTTGAACACATAAATAATAGTACAAGGGGACATCTGATACATATGCTCCACACAAGTCACTTGATTTGTGTGTGGGCTGTGATACTGCTTGGGTGCCCAAACCGAACCAGGTGGTTTTCTTAGAGGGCCACGTCTGGAGCCTTTGACCTAAAAGTTTGATCCACAAGGCAGTGGGGCAACGTTAGCAGATGCAGTCCCATAGTAGCCAGTGGCCAACAATAGGTTCATACGCAATTTGTCCTCTTAGGATCCTGGAGTCCACGTGCACTATTAGTTTGTAATCGCGGTTTCCCAACTCCTTTATGTTTATCCTTCATATGCATTAACCAGATTAAAGCTCCGGACATTCACTTTTCATCCTTTCAATTTCGTAAACATTAGTAATGCTGTGAGAAGGCTGTGAGTAGGACTTCGCTGGCAGTGGTTGTATACGCGTGGCCATGTGAGAGCATTTCGAGAGGGAGAGCGGACTTTACTCACTCTCGACCGTACTAGGGCATTTGGGGGCTATTTAATAATCACAGATCAGTTTTACTCAATTTAAAGAAACTGTAGTATATAGACATGTTAAGTTAACAACTACTAAATAGTTTAAACACTCCTTTACGAAACTAATTAATTGATTATCGATTAACATGGTAATCAAGTTGTTACTAGTTACAATGAAGTGATCTTATTCCTGAAAAAATTACAATTTTTTACCACAAACGTCTGATGATAATTTTTCAGTGAGACTATAATTTATGGACGACCTTTTAGTGACGCTGAAGTGACCTTGAGTGTGGACACCTACTGAATAGGATTAAATGCGAGTTATAAATCAGTTAGAATTCTCATTTACAGTTGATAGTTAGAGTTAAAAATTAGCTTTAGGGTTTTCATCATGAACTGACATGAGTTATAATTGCCAAAACTCTATTTTTAGCCAAATGTATAGATGAATTTCGCTCCAAAAATCGAGACTCATTTTCTTATATCTGATTGGTTCGTCCATAAATTATAGTCTCACCAATTTTTCCCATTCAGGAAGTCGTATTCTTTTGTTATATAAACTTTAAATGAGGACATTACCTTTTTTTTCTATTATATTATTACTGAATGTGATTTATGTTAAACCATTTCGTCTATTATTGTTCTCATTTCAAATAGTTGTCAATCTTACACCAGAGAAAATGCGTCAACAAGCAACAGATTTACAACAATCTATGCTTGATGAATTACCTGAAACATGTTTACCAGCTAAATTGGTTGTGGAACCGGAAGTTTGAAAAATTGACGATGACGACGATGATGACACCAGAAATAGAGAGAGAAAGAGCAGTATAATGATTGACAATGTATGTGATCATAATATATAATATTCACTGTGTTTTTTTTTCTAATTATTATTCACTTGTCATTATTACACATTATATTTGTCTTGTAAACCATTAATTTTGAATCCACTAAAGAATCATTTCTAATGCAATAATAATAATAATAGTAATACTTACATTCATGCCGTAAAAGCGCATTTCACTAACTTAACAAACTGATTAGTTGGCTGGTTTCTAACCTTGACTTTGATTAAAATTATATCACTTTTATATTTTCTTTCATTTTCTGTTTTATTGACTTGTATCATTGGTATCAATATACGCACATGTTACTACTACTCCTACTATTACTGGTACCATTTTTCACTGTAGTATTGTTTCCCTTTCATGAAATGAATGGATAATACAAAAAGTATAAGTATTCATTCACTCATCATCATCATCATGTTTATGTAATGGTTGTTTTGTTATCAATTTCCCTTTGGGTTATTGACTTATCTCTATGTTAGTTTTCTTATTTCATATTATCACTTTATGAATTCATATTGATTCTTCATTGTCAAAAGCATTTTATTCATTCATCCATTAAACAACTATTGATACATATATGTTTAAACTACTTTTGTGGTTATTGTCATTCACGGATAACACTGCACATGAAATTTGAAATGGTTTTAAGGATTTTCTCTGATGGATTTCTTTCACTAATCTCCTCTTTCATTCCTGGCTAGAGTTATTCAGTGTATTCATTTAGTAGATGAATATAATACCTACTTAATTAAGTAGTATTCTAATTATTTGTTTATATGTTAGTATATACTGTGATGATATTAATGATACTTTGTGTTCTTTTTTTTTCATAATTTCTGTTCATTTTGAAGTTACTGTTGTTGTTGTTGCTGTTGTCGTTTTTCTTCTTCTAAAGACAATATTCACATTGTATTGAGTAATTAGTGTTAGTGTAATAGTAGTCTGTTTGATGTGAGTTTTGTTTTTTCTTTTGGAGAACATTTTTCTTCTTCTTTTTTTCAAGCAATAATTTTAATACAATTAATCATTTCACAAAATTGATGAATAGTTTTTGTGTGTGTTCTATTGTCTTTGATATAATGATAGGTGTAAATGGAATAAGCACTACATTAGTCTAAGTTGAAGTTTATGGTGAATTGTCATTTGATTTTAAAACTTTAAGTGATATTCGACAAGGTTGTTCACTATCTTCATTTCCGTTCAATTTCATCATAGACCACCTACTGATGGAAATAACATTCTCGTCGTCTGAATTCTTGGGTATTGATCTCCTTCCAGGAGGTCCACTTATCAACTTCGAATACGCAGATGATATTGTCCTGTTTGGTGAAGACGCTGATAAAATGCAGTCTTTTGGTAGCACTAAGCAACAATGCCAGAATGTTTGGGATGCGTTTCTTGCACTCTAAATGCAAGTTGTTGCTTCAAGACTGGTCTGCGTCAACACTTGAACTAAGGATAGGGAGTGAAGTAGTTGAACGCGTTGACAACTTCACTTATTTTGGAAGTCTGATCAACCCTAATGGGTCGGTGTCTGACGGAATCTCAAAACGGATTCGAAAATCGCGTTTGGATTTCGCTAACTTACGTCGCCTATGGTGAAGGCGAGATATACGTCTATCAGTTAAAGGACGATTATACTGTGCGGCCATTTGTTCTGTATTACTTCACAGATGCGCAATGTGGTCCTCAAGAGTAGAGGATACTCGTAAGTTGCTATTATTTGATCGCAGATTCCTTAGAAGTATTGCTCGCATCTGTTGGGATCACCGGGTAAGTAATAGTGAGGTTAGACACACAGTCTTAGGGAATGATGGTAAATTAGTTGATGAGGTTGTGAATCTTGATCGACTGAGATGGTTGTGCCACGTGTTGCGTATACCTGAACACTGATCACCGCGACGCGCAATAACTAGTGTGATGTGTGCTACTTATATAGACATAATTAGTATATGACGTTAGTCAGGAACAGAATATTTGACAGCAGAGAAACAAGAGGATCGAGCAGTAAAGGATGGAAACAGAATGCAATTTGTATGATAATGCAAGAACAATGAAGTCCGAGTCATTTTAAGACAACTGATGGACATTTTGCAAATTAGGTATTTACTATATGATTGTTAGACTTTACTAACATGTTCTGTAATTTTCTGTCAAATAAATTCGATTGTCCCCACTCGTGTTTTCGTTCACTACAATAGTGTTGAGGATAATTGTAAGAAAGCTGGGGCTGGTCAAACCAAAACGTGGCATCAGTTCTTGAAGTTACTAACTTCTGATCTGAGTCATGTTGATAGATGTAGGCTTCTTGGTTGGTTCCGCGTGAATATCATAATCAACGGTTGGAGACTCTTGGTGACACGGTTCAGAATCGATCACAATGGCGTAGGTGTATACACTCTCTGTCTTCCTTTAAACTATGAAATTGAAATCGCTTTGCATCTTTCTTTCTACGTACTAGTTCTTTCTTCCTGTACTATATCTTTATACGCAATCTTTCTTTTATGTATTACCACAATTGAAGTAACTAGTTCTATGAATCCGGTGTTTATCTTGTTGTGGGAATTAGGTATGGCAACTTGGACCGATCCACATATGTGCCTGGTCCTACGTTGTAGCTGACTGACACTAGTCTGCATTCGAAAAATGTTTTTCTTGCTAAAGAAAGTTGATGTTTCATCTGATCTATCGTTAAACGGTAGAACCTCACTCCGAACATACCGTTTTTTTTAATGTTGATGCTTAATTGGCTGATTACCATTTACATAAGTGTCCTGGCTTGAAATCGCTTATTAATATCACGGGTTAAGGTGGTCTCTAGTCAGGATGCTGGTTATAAATTTTTCTATTTAACATCAACCATTTTTTCTGTAGTATATTGTCCTTGACTTGGCTATTTATACGTTTAATTTCCACTGTTAACTTTGAGCTGATGCAATTTAAATTCATATGTGTCCTTTATTCTCAACCCTTCTGTATCCCTTGCCTCGAGTCCAAAGAAAAGTCAGCAGTTAGGTTCTATTGTATTATAGTTCAAAATTATGTAGGTTTATATACAAACATAATGTTTTACATCATATCATGAAATGAAAAAATTCCAGTTGTACATAAACGAGCTAAAATTGTTTATAAACAAGACAAGCTGAGGAAAATCGATTGGCAGTAAAATAGGAATAATCATTAGTATAGTAATAGTTGATAGGTTACGATAAACGGAGTATATAAACACAGTAATTCAGTCAGTTATTAATTATACTATAAGAATGAATATAATAATCCATATACTAGTTCCGGGAATTACCTTTTTTTCAATCTTTGTTGTGATATATCAAGAACTTAAGAGTGTATTTAGGTAAATAAAATGGCTCCAGATTACTAAATTTAAATAGGATGTATAAGGTTGATAATGGTCATTCAGTTCAGTAATTGGTTATTTCAATAGTTGAGATCATGAGTTAATTGAAGCTAGATCACCACGGAAAACCTGGAAGCACTGGACGGGTTCTGGGCATGCGCACTGCCGAAGAGTTCCACAATAATACCGAACGGCCATACAGTGCTTCCAGGTTTTCCGTGGTGATCTAGCTTCAATTAACTCATGATCTCAACTATTGAAATTACTACAATTTCCAAAAAACCTCTTTCTGATATTAATCAACATATGCTCATAAGTGACTGGCTTCAAGAGGTATTCCCTGCAGTTCTAGTGAGAAGCAGTGACCAGTCGAGTCCAACCGGGTCTGTTGTGAAATAGTAACTCACTGATGACAGTGGTGGATATGTGGCTCAATTTCGTGGATAAGTTGAAGTTAGACATTAACATTGTTGAATGCCAATAGGCTGAGTGGTCTAGTGGTGAAGTGCTCGCGCTCGGGACTGATAGGTCTTGGATTCGAATCTCGCAAAACGGGATCATATAAATTGTTTAATAAAGACTTCTTCTTGTTAATACTATACTGGAATCATTTTGTATTTTAACATCCCTACATATCTAGTGCATCACCTAATATTCAATGAGAAAAATGATTTGTTTCTTACCAGTTTATCATAAACAAAGCAGAACTATGATGGAAACTGATTGATTTATATGTGGGTGTGTGAATTATCAAATCAAAAAAAGTTATGCAGTTGATAGATTAAAACATTTTGGTTTTTATCATTACAGATCACATGTAGAATATTTTCATAGTATGTTCTAAACACTACTGATATGGTATTTTTCTATCTCGTATTTATCTAAATTTAAAAGTAATATCAAAAGGGATCTTTGTAGATAATACAATAATTTTAATAGTTGAGATCATGAGTTAATTGTAGCTAGATCACCATGAAAAGCCTGAAAGGACTGGATGGCTGTTTCGTACTATTGTGGGCCTCCTTAGCAATGTACATCCACGATGATGGTGATCTAGCTTTAATTAACTCATGATCTCAACTATTGGAATTATTATAATGTCTACAAAAATCTCTTCTGATATTGAATTGTAACTTTTGAGAACAACTTATCGACCAATACTATGCGTATATTTTTACCGTATAATTGTTAAATAACTAAACTATAAATATTCATGTCCCTCTTATTATTAGCTTTATTTTGACCTATGAACTTTAATTATATGATTTACCATTCTCGAATTATGCCCTGTCTATCAATTATTACCTTCCACACTCACAGCCATATTTGGCTGATTCTTGTACAAATGTTGTTGTCAATCAACGTTTGGACTCAAACGTATGCGTAAGAAAGACATCTGAATGTTGCTTTATTCCTCAAAAGTTAGTACGATATCATGTTGCACGTAATTGAGTCTATCTATTAATATAGCAACACTGAACTCCTTATCACAAATGGTGAAGATATCATCAACGTACCTCTTTTACAACATTACCTTGTTAATGAGATCACCTGTCCTAATTCCAACATGTGATGCATAAATATGAGCTAAGATAGGCTGAAAAACTATTCATAGCACCATTATCAACTTGTCAAAAATGTTGTTCACTGACAAAGTTCATTTCACGTTTGTAGGTGAATATTTTTGGCAAGTTAGTCTATTGGAATCCTACCTGGATATAAGACTAATGACCATAACATTAAATTGATATTTAAAATTTACGAATTGGTGTAATAGTTATTTGGTATCTAAACCCCGTCTTGATTTTGTTTCGAAAAGGATCTCATACCCCGTTACCTTAGCAGTTAGAATCAAATGGCACGATTTTGAAACAGAGACTAAAAACAATCACCTGAAAAACATATAAAGACTACGAGATTGGTTGTCACGATTGTCCATGATTCTACTAAGCTATCCGTTAATCGTAATCAATGTAGAGCCTGGTAAAAATAATACATCGATCCAACTTTTTATACCACATTAACACAATATTGTGAAATTAACATAAATAACAAAGGAATCGAAATGATATAGTAGCAATGATAATGCGTTGGATAAAGGAGAGACGATCAGTAATAGCAGATAATTATTTCGAATCATTAACGGAATAGATATTGATAAGGTAGTCGTTAGTGTTAGTATTATGGAGAAACATGAAATGATTATGTACTGTGAAGCTAGACACGATTGTTTAAAGGTAGTAATTAAAAAGAACTGATGTAATATTCAAGCCTTAATTGATCTATGATGTTTAAATAATACACTCAACCTGTTACACTCGGTGTTTAAGTGTGCATTCATTTAGAGATTATTTCAAAATAAAGAAAGTCAGAGACTCCTATATAGGCTCCATTGAAAGAAAATACAATCTATTCAACAAACAAAAAAGAATATAAACACACATAAATGATCAACATCAACAAATTGTTTATTTTGCTTGGTATTCAAACGCTGCATCATTGATGAAATTGGCAAGATCAATATCTCGTCGTGAAAGACCTCCTGCATCATGTGAAGTGAGTAGTATGTCCACCTATAAGTTAAAAAAAATATTTATGGTATATTAACTTGTTAGTTATACTCAATAAAAAAATAATGATGTTGGGATTATACAAGGTTATAAAGTATGTTCACACTT